TTATTATTATTATTATTATTATTATTATTATTATTTTTTCAAATTTATCTCTGCCCATCTCCCCTTAATGGGGGACTCTGGGCAGCTCACATAGTACAGCTTATATACAACTTAACAATTACAAATTACAAGCCTATTCTAATTACAATTAGTGCAGCCCTACTCTATTGTGGCCAGCAGCGGTTGCAAGGGAGTCATCTCATCCAGGCTTTCTTCCACGATGATCTTTTCCATCCAGTACGTCAGTTGCATCCAGTGTCGGTGTTTTTTCTGCCGATCGGGTCCAGCACTGGTCCCTGTGCAAAGTGCCGCCAGTTCCTCCCACAGAAATGGGAGTACCTATTTATCTACTCGTAGATGGTATGCTTTTGAACTGCTAAGTGGGCAGAAGCTAGGGACAAATGACGGGTGCTCACCCCGTCACGCAGAGTTGGACCCAAACTGCTGGAGTGCCGACCATTTCTGGGCGTATAACATATATATATTATATATATATAATACATAACTGGCTATCATCAGTGTATTGATAATACCTTGTCTCACATTGATGAATGACTCTCCCAGAATATTTTTTTATTTATACACACACACACACACACACACACACACACATGCTAAATAGCATAGAGGAGAGTACCAAACCCTGACTCATATTGGAGTAACAAAAGACTTGAACACTTCCTCCTGGGATTACCAATAAGAACCTCTTCTCAGGTAGGGGTGGAATCATTGTAACATGGTGGTTGACTTCCAATCTTTGCAGGCAGCCCAGAAGGATACCATGCTTGATGGTAGCGAATGCTTTTAAGGCCTCCAATAGGACCAAGGGAGGCATATTCCCTGCATCTAGGTCTCAACAAAGTTCATGTAACAGAGAAACTAATGCAAATTCTATTCCACGTCTTGACAGAAGGTATCTAGATAAATCCCTCTAGTCCAGCAACCTTTTTTTTTTAACAAAAGAAAGTAACCAAATGTTTTTGAAAATTCGCATAGAAGGCCTGAGTGAAATTGCCACTTCCTCAGTTTTTTAAGTTAGCACTGATAAGTTATATATTTGATATTTTTTTTTAATATAAATTGCTTCCCACTTAAAACTTCCCATACAGTTCAACTATAATAATCTGTTTGTGCTGGTGCTCTTTAAATTCATATACTTCAAGGAAGACACCAGTGCCCTTTGCGCTGTAAAACCAAAAACCTGTATTGAAAAGTAGTAATATAGTGTAGGTCCTTTAATTGGAAGTACAATAGCATTTCCTTCATATGGGTGTAAGTTACATTTCAAAATATTCCAGGAATATCCCCCTAAGTTCTCCATTTGTGTATACCTTATTGACAGCAAAGGCAGTAATAATGTCAGAATCTTTATGGATAATTCTTGCTTTACTTCCAGGGTATCGTGCATCATTCTCTATCTGTATTAAAAAGAAAAGTGGAAGAGTAACATATAATACTTTAACAATAATAATGATTTCATCTTTTAAGTCATGCTGAAAAATAAATGATAAATATTAATCAGGAATATATCTAGCCTAATTAAAAGTATATGAATTATGAATTCAAGATAGTCTAGTAAAAAAACTTTCTGATGGGGATCTTAACTCTACATAATCATTCATTCAGATTAAATTCAGTTCATTGATCTAAAAAACTAGAAAATGGTAGTGAAAATTCCCAGAAAGATAAGCTGAGGCTAAGAAATAATTATTACTCAGTATTGACCATTTAATTTCTTGGAAGGTGAAAATTATTCAAAATTTATTACGTCATTTATAAAAACTCAGCAACTTCAAACCAGAATATTATTGAGTACAATATTGTATAATTCTATACACTGGTATACTGCTTAGATAAAAGACCAGTTGATTGTAGATTTTAGCAAATTCATATCAGGTGCTAAAAGACTTCCTAGAAAACCTCTTAGGAGAATTTACATACTTTTTCCTGTTGTTATGATATATACCTTATTAATTCCTGGTTCTTCTACTGAAATACTTTTGATATGTTCCACTTGGTCTTCTAATAACTAGATACAAAAGAAAACAGAAAGATCTAGGTAAAAAAATAAGATCTTAGTAATATAGAACAACATGCAAGGGAAGCATACATATTAGCACACATTTTTCAAACAAATTACCAGGAGTCAGCATAATTTCCCCCCTTTTGAAAATAAATAACTTGCTTTACATGTAGGTGAATGTAAGTACTAGCTTTTTCAGAGGATATGCAGGCCTAATCCAGCTTGAATTTTATATGTATTATTGTTCAAAAGTATTAAAAGAAAATAAGAGTTCTGTCCCCCTTCTCCCCAAAAACAGAGACAGAGTACTTTTGAATTATTAACAAATGAAAGGTAAACAGACAAAATAATTTGCAGATCTGTGCTGAACACTGAATTAAAGAGGCAAAAGCTCAGATATGACATCCAAAGAGTCAAGAATTATTTACAGCTTGGTATGTTCAGCAGTTGTGAAAAAAGGCTAAGGGGCATAGCTGAGTAAGTATTAGTGGTGTCTTCTGAAGGTGAATTTGTTTTCTCGAGTAAACAAAGATCATAATGCATGAGAGCAGCAGACAAAGTAGTCAACCATATATTATTTTGTACAACATTATACAGATAGATAAAATGATGAATATTTCATCATCTTAATAGCCAGTAATACAATCCAATTATGCAACAAACAGCAGGGGGATGTATGTAGTTATGTGCAATATCTTTGCCTTTTCAGTTGCCAGATTCCTTGGAGAAATAGGAATTCATTTATACAGAACAGTAGTGAAAACTTTGAATTCAAAATGTTTGAGAAACATTGAATTAAATTGTAATTAATGAATTTTAATTTCTACATAAACATACAACACAAACCTCACTTAAACACTTTCTCTTTGCAAATATGTTTCTGATGAAGGTTTCTTGGACCACTTCTTGTTTAATGAGGTACTGCCAAAGCCTTTTTACGGATAATGCATAATAACTTTTGGATCTAAAAATGAGAAAGATTTTTAACACATAATTTCAAAAAAATACAGTTGATAAATTATATATACATTAGTGTGTGTGTGTGTGTGTGTGTGTGTAGACACATGAAAGCAGAAAACTGTAAATCCAGAAATTTTAACAAGAAGCAATAACTGCTGCATTCTAACAGGTACTCTGCTATTCACATACTTCTTCAATCAAATTTTCAGCATTATACAGAGTGATGACAATTAGGTTGCAGATACCTGTTGCAAATATTCCTTAGTCAAAGAAAGGAAATGGCACAAGTGCAAGTAAAGCTGAATATATCTGATCTCATCCAGTACATCATCTATTTTATTTCTCTTAACTAATAATTTCAATAGTTGTAATAAGTAGAGCACAAGTCCGCTGATCACAAAAAGTGATTTTACTGAGCAACCGCAAAAATGTTTGCATATGTGTTGTGATTTTTTTATGACATGGAAGATGGGATGGTGGTGAGAATGTAGGAAGCCACTGAGATATTTTACAGGCCAACATACATAACAGACAACTTCATGTCTGCTGAACAACCTCCATTAATATGTAATTATTGAGCTGTCTTACAAGAAAATGGTAACAGAACACGCAGGAAGAAATAAGCAAAATCCTGTTTTCCCAGCAGCTGCTCTTTGCTTATACCTATTGATTAATGATTGAAGTTGAAAGCACGGCTCATGTTGCAAATTAGAATAGTTTAGAGTAATAGTGTGGTTAAGGATTGGGCTAGGACAACAAAGCTCACATTTAATTTAATCCTTAAAATGGAAGCTCACTGGGGGACTCTGAACTAATCCCTTTCACCCTCAACTCAACCTCTTTCACATGGCTGCTGATATTGTATACATCTTTACATATTTCTGCATAAATGTAACCTAAAATGTGATCTGTTTAGCCATACACAGTTCAAAAGGGTTCACAAGCATGAAAGAAGCTTCCAAGAATTAAAAAAGCTTCCAGAGACGATAGTTATTAGCCAACAAATTAAGCTTCTATAGCAACACTTGTCTATGTTAACAGTAAGAGAAATGGAAATAAAAATGAACTACGCAGAACAAAACAGACAAACAAACAAAAAATGAGTTTGCAAACAAACCAGGGAAATGGCTGGCATGCAAATTATGAAAAGAAAAAGAAAGAAAGTGGTATTAAAATTACAAAAGGGAAATACTGTAATAACAGATGTGAACATGAAAAAAGTATTTTATCAATATTATTCTAATTTATATAAAAGACAAGAAATTTCCCTGGAGAAAATGGATGAATATTTGAAGAACAAAATTAACCAAAGATTACAGAGAAACAGAAGCAGATTATGAATGGACCTATAGCAATAAGAGAAGTTTGTGAAGCTATAAAGAAGACTAATATAAGAAAGGGGTCTGGACCACATGGTTTACTGGCTTCTTAGTACAAATGTTTTGAGGATGAACTCTTACAACCTTTACAAAATACGATGAATTCTATTTTACAGAGAGGAAAGATGCCACACTGCTGGAAAGAGGCCAAAACAGCCATTAATATCTAAAAAGAGCCAATATTTGACTTCAACAAGGAACGATCGGCTGATATCATTATTGAATAATGATTATAAGTTGTTTACAATGATTTTGGCTGAGAGGTTGAAAATAATTTTGCAAGAATTTATCCCTGAAGATCAATGTGGGTTTTTACCTAAAAGACAGTTAATATTAGAAATGTGTTGGACATTTTGGAATATTTGGAGTAACACAATGAAAAACAATCCACATTGATTTACTTAGACACAGAGAAGGCTTTTGACAATTTGAACTGGGCTTTCCTCTTTAAAGTTTTGGAAGATATGAACTTTGGAGATAATTTTATTAAATGGATAAGATCAATTTACACCTCACAGAAAGCACAAATAATTGTTAATGGAGAACTAAAAAAAAACGTGAGATACAAAAAGGGACAAGATAAGGCTGCCCTGTTGTCTCCGCTCCTGTTTATTTTAGTTCTTGAAGCACTGAGACAAGTACTATAAGACAAGATGAGAGAACTGAGGGAGTAAAGATTAAAAGAGAAACTTATAAGTTAAGGGCATTTGTTAATGATTTGACGCCGGTTTTGGAGGATCCATTAAAGGCAACAGAAATATTAATGGAAAATTAAAAGAATTCGGTATGCTAGCAAGTTTTAAGATTAATAATCAGAAGATGAAGATGTTAACAAAAACTATGAAAATAGAGGATCAAACAGAATTGATGGCGAAAACTGGTTTTAAGATTAAGAAAAAAGTAAAATATTTGGGTATCACTATGACATATGAATTATATGTTATTTCAAAACAATTATGTTAAGACATGGAATGAAATTAAAAAGGACATGTTAATATGGGAGAAACTACAATCATCACTGTTGGGGAGAATGTCTGTGATAAAAATGAATGTTTTGCCAGAATGATGTTTTTGTTTCAGGCAATACCTGTTTTGACAACTGATATATCATTTAAACAATGGCAAAAAGATATATCTAAGTTTGTATGGCAAGGGGAAAACTATGAGTTAAATATAAGGTGTTACAAGATGCAAAAGAAAGAGGAGGACTGGGTCTACCTGATCTGATGTTGTATTTTGTAGCTTGTTGTTTGGTTTGGATGAAAGAATGGGTGTTGCTGAGAAATAAGACTATGGAGTTAGAAGGACATGACCTGAGATTTGGGTGGCATGGATACTTGTGGTACAATAAAGTTAATGCAGATTTCAAAAATCATTATGTTAGATGTTCTATATTGAGAATATGGAATAGATACAAACCTAGGCTGTGCCCAAAAACACCTTTATGGCTCTCAGCACAAGAAGCATTTTATAGATGAGAAATAACAGGCAAAGATAAATGGTTATCATATCGTGAGATACTAGAATTTCATCAAGGGGAATATAAAATGAAATCAAGAGAACTGATGGCAATAGTTGTCAATGGTTTTCTTACTTACATTTATCAATAAGATTTAAAGTAAATAAGAGAATTCATGATATTGAACAATTTAAGACAGAATTTGAAACAGAATGGTGTACAAATGGTGATCATGTAATTGCTAAAATGTATAAACTTTTACTGAAATTTGAAACAGAAGAACATGTCAAAGAATGTATGATAAAGTGG